TTTTCTAATAAAGTAAAATTGGAAATTGTCACTTGTCATTTTTATATAAACTTTTATTTTTAGAATTACTTTTACAGTACTTTATTTTTCATAGTAAAAAATTATTAAACAAGAATTTTATATTTTTAACTTATTCTTGATCCGTACTAAATATATCATCTTTATATAGTCAAATGATGATGATTTTTTTAACTTATTATAAATACATTTAATTGTATAATTTATTATATGATATTATAAGTCAAAATTAACTCATCAAATTTTAAATTTTTTAGGAATTTATTAAGTTTAATTAAGAACTTAACTAATTTACATGCTTTTATAATCTTATCTTGAAAAAAGTTATTCCATACACATCCTTTTATCTAATTCATCATTTTATAAACATGTGAATTTCATTTCCTTTGCTGAATTAACATCAATGCAATAAGTTTTTTTTTTTTTGTAGTAATTAATTCTTTTTGCTATGTAAATATATAAAAATAATCATTTTATATATGTGTAAATTCTCTAAACAATACTTGGCTTCAGTGTTTGTCTAGAATTATATCAACTTTTTTTTTCTATTAAGTTTCTTTTATAATTTATTAGTTTGCAACAAAAAAATTAAACCATTAACACACACACACACATATATTACTATTATTATTATTAACCATAATTGTAAAACAATTAATCATTTATAATTTCTTTCGAGAATGCTATTCCTTGAATTTCATTTGTTTCCACAAAGCGTTAAAATTGGATTTCATAACAAACCTTATTATATAGGTTTATATGCAACTTGTTCTTTAAACAAGTATCATTAAAAAATACAAGTCATATAATTCTAATTATTTTAATAAAAAACTTAAATCATAACTTTACTATTTTAACTATTTATTTTAAAATGTACAAGGTCTTTATATTCTTCGATTTAGAAGAATTCTGTTTCAAGTTCATATGAATTTTTTTTAGTAACTTGATGAATTACCTTGAATATATATTCTTTCGATATGATATTAATCTACATACTTTATTGTACATAATTATGCATAGCCAATGCACTTAATTCATCTTTAATTTCTTCATTTTGCAAACTTTTACTATTGCTTCATGTTCCCAAACCTTTAGATAATTTAGATTTGGTTTTATTTCTTTCATAATTCATGAGAATAACTTCTTTTTGTCTGAAATTTTATTTTAATCATGATATAATATCATTAATATTTTTACCTTATGATCTTATCTTGTTTAAGAAGAGTGAATCATTTGGGTTAATTCTCATATTTAGAAAATAGAAATGTTTATATGCTTGACTGCTATGTTTTTCGATGGTATCTCTTTGCAAGAGCTTAATCATGTTCAAACCAATCAAAACATTGTTGCTAAGCTTAAATTTAGATTTGATAATTTTAAACACGAAATAAAAATGTTATGAAAAAAATATAAAGGCGATACAATTTAAAAATTTGGTAAAAATTATATATAGATTTGATAAAAAAATGTTTTATGTTGTGTGCTGATACGAATTTGATACTACAATTATTTATGTTATACATATATTTGACATGATAAAAATACGATATAGATATACTCTATGTAAATTCATTGGTTTTGTTCTCATTATCTTTTATATTTTAAAAACATAAATAACCTGATCAAAACAAAATTTTCATGTAGTTGATGAATTTATTAGAATCAATTTTTTTATTGATTGTACTTACAATTAAAAATTTGTCATAATGAAATAATTTCATATATCATATATTACACACATACATTTATAAAAACAACAAATTAATTAAATAAATCAATACAAAATTAAATTAAATTCACCTGCAATAAGACTTTAATTTGAAACTTAAAGATTTTAAAAGCTCATTCTTAAGGTCCATTTAGATGAATGATGAGATTGATTTTGGTAAGATTAAAAATAATGATAAAGATGAGATTTGTTACTCTAACAGTAAGTTTGATTACTATAACGGTAAGATTAAAATCAGTGGTAAAATATATGTTTGATGAAAATGCAGCAGTAGTAGTGAGGTAGATTATAATGAAAAGATAAAATAATCATTAAAGATATTAAATTAAAATTACATATAATAAAATTTATAAAATATATTTGATATTTGTGATATTAATAAATAATTAAAAATTATTAAAATTATTTTATATCAAATAATACTTTTATTAATAAACTGAAAAATATTAAAATTATTTTTATATCAAATAATAATTTGTTATTATATATTTAAAAATTATTTTTTTGTATATATTATTTTTGTTCAAAATAACAAATAATAATAAAAAAAACAACCCTAAAAGCTAAGGGACACTTTTGTTCCTTCATTATTGTTTGAGAGATAAAAAAGATTAAAAAAAAAAAAAGTGAAGACATTATAACAAAGGATGTTGCGTTGGGGAGGGGAACTTTTCATTGGAGAGGGGGTGGCCAACGAGAAAAAAGGGATATGGCGCGTTGAAATTCAACTCCAATTGCATTGATATTGTTTAACAAATGCATGCATGATGCATTTGGCACAATTTTTCATGCAAAAGGTATCTTCGCTGGACCACTATTTGATTCCAAATGGAGCTTTAGTATTGAGATAAGGTTTGATTGGTCGGAGAATGATTGACCATTTTTCAATAAAAAAATATTGCAATTGACAATTTATTAGACTTTAAAACAAAAAGATTTAAATATTTTTTATAGGAAATTAAAATTATATTTGATACATAAGATTATGATAAAATAAGATATAATGATATTATGCATAAGATTAGATTAAATAATATCATTTTATTTTATTTTTGATGTATGCAAAAATTAGAATAGAATAATTTATTTATTTATCAAAATTATCTTTTCTTAAAGTTTTTACAATTTAAATTATTGATATAATTTTTAAAGGTATAATTAGATATTTAAGTTTAATCTTATGAATTAAAAATAATTATCTCCATTTTAAAAAAATTGAATCATTTTCTTTCGATACAAATCAAACATAATATAAAATAATTATTATCTTATCCTATGAATAATCTTATGCATCAAACAAGATTTAAAAGTGACTTAGTCATAGATGTGCATGCCAAATTTAATTTCATTTGCACCTTTTACACATATAATGTATGTTTTGAAACTACAAAATGAAGATTTTGAGAGATGCTTTAATGGCAGCCTCAACATCCAATTAATGGCAAAGATCTCGAAGCCTCTTCTCACGTGAATTCTTTTCCTTCATACAAGAAATGTAGAATATGTGAAATTTTTTCCCAAATCAAATGATTATTGGACTAATTTTATATCTCTGCGAAAGATTAATCATATGCACACAAATCAAAATATCATTGCTATCCTTAAATTCAATTATCAAAACAAAGTTTTCATAACAAAGGTTTGATAAATTTAAAATTTAAAATTTTCTTTATAATCAAATAATTTAAAAAATAACATATTTCATACATTTATAAAAAATAATAATAAAAAATTAATTAAATAAATCAAAATAAAATTAAACTAAATTCCAATGCAAAAAAAAAAAAAAAAACTTAAATTTAAAAGTTAAAATTTAAAAAGCTTATTCTTACTATTTATCTTCTTAAAAATGACTGACTATTTTTCCGTATAAGATATTGTAATTTACGTCTAATTAGTTTTCCTTAGGTTCATTCAGAAAAGAAAAAGTTTTAACCAATGTCCTTATAGGAAAGTGATTTAGTTTAATTAGTCGGGGATGTGCACCTCAAATTGGACCACAACAGAAAAGCCGACCCCACGTTATTAATTTTTTAAGCTAATTATTTATTAGTTGATGCCAAACACTGGTTAATGAAAGTATAAGGCTTCTTCCACGCAACAGAAAACCTATCCCACAAAATTAAGTTTTTTTAGTCATTATTGACCAATTTGTCGGTGAAAGTATAATGCATGATGTGCAACTTCCTCTCGACTGCCTCTGCAAAAAGGTAGATGCCAAAAGCCACCCCGGCCCCAAAGGCATCTTTTGCTCAGAAAATGCATGCATGATTGTTACAAGAAACTAATTTAATATAGTTATTATTTGATCCTTAAAAAAATAAATATCATAATCTTATCATTACGTGTAAATTGTCTAATGTGTTTCTCTCTGTAGGTTGTGGTCTAATTACCAGTTAAATTGGTCGGCCAAAGGAATATTTTTAATGGAGTAAACAACCTTTTGTTTAAGAATCCTTTACAAGGAAGAGGGCAATTGCAAAGTTAAAGCTCGACGTTGACAAATTTTCCAAAATGAAGGTTTTCTTTATCCTCTGCTTTACGACTATATTGATAATTAATTAATTATAATTTTAAATTATATAGAGTTAATCAAAACATAGAGAACATTTTATCTATAATATTTTTATTTATATAATTTTATAATTATTCTAATCTTAATAAAAAATTACATAACATTTATTACTTATAAATATGAAATTTATTATTATTTTAATGGATTGTACACCGTTTTAATATATGTAAAATCCATATTTAGATAAAAAAATAAAAATTACACATAGAATACACCCCAACCGCTTAATAGAACACACTATTGCTATCTAAAAGGGTGAATATGTCAATGAAGCTTTAGGAATTAATTATCAAGAAAAATGTAGGAAAAAAAGAAAGAACATGTCAAAAATGTTTTCCCAAATCAAAGGATTATTGGGCCAATTTTATCTCTCTATGAGAGATTAATTATGTGCACATGGATCAAAATACCCTTACTATGCTTCAATTATCAAAACAAAGTTTCCATAACCAAGGTTGATAAATTTAGTATTCGGAGGAACCATCTTTTTTTATTGAATGTAATTACAATTAAAATTTTCAATTATAATCAAATAATTTCAAAAATCACATATTTCATACGTTTATAAGAAAATTATTAAATAAATAAATTAACATAAAATAAACTAAATTCAAATACAATAAAACTTAGATTTGAAACTTTAAGATTTTAAAAACTCATTCTTTCTATTTTTCTTCTTCGAAATGACTGACTATTTTTCCACATATGATATTTCAATTATGTCTAATTATTCTTCTTTAGGTCCAGTGAAAAAGGTAAAAATTTTAACCAATGTTCTTAAAGGAAAGTGATTTGGTTTATTTAGTCGTCGATGTGCACGCCAAATTGGACCAAGTTTGTGCATATTCCACACAACAGAAAACCCACCCCACTAAATTAATTTTTTAAAGTCATTATTGACTAATTTGTCACTAAGTATAATCCATTGTTTTGATGTGCAACTTCCTCTTGACTGCCCCTGCCGAAAGGTAGATGCCAAAAGCCACCCCGGCCCCAAGGCCATCTTTCGCTCGGAAAAAATACATGCATGATTGTTACAAGAACCAATTTAACATAATTAGTATTTGATCCTACCAAAAATTTTTTAAAAAAAAATCATATCATTACATGTAAATTGTCTGATGTGTTTTTCTCTGTAGGTTGTGGTATAATTACCAGTTAAATCGGTTAGCAAACAGAATATTTTTAATGGAGTAAACAAGTAGAAAGTGGCAAATAGTAGTAATCCCGCAGCAACTACTCCCAACACCCTTGGTTAAGTTAGAATTAGCAAACAAAAAAAAAACTTCCAGGAGATATTCTCTGCCTTCTGTGCACTTCTGCATATCTTTCTTTCATTTTTTCACCCTTTGGCTTGATATTCCAAAAAGCATCTTTGATTTCGTTCATTTTTCTCCTTTCCAGAAATTGTTCAACTCCCCCTTTAAAACCAAAGCCTAACTATGGGTAACATCTTCTCGATCTCAGCTTCATGCGACACTGTCATTACCCGCTGCTGTGATTGTGTTGCCGGACAAGCACAGTTTGTATGCAAGCTTGAAGAAAACGTAGAAGCTTTAAAAATTGCACTAGCAGAATTGACGGATCTAAGGAATGATGTGATCAGAAGAGTGAAAATAGCTGAAGATCAACAACAGCTGAAGCGGCTAGACCAAGTTCAAGGCTGGCTTGCGAGGGCAGAAACTTTGATTAATGGAGCTCATTTGTTGATTGAGCAAAGTCCTCAGGAAATTAAGAAATTATGTGTAGGAGGTTGTTTTTCTATGAGTCCCAAGTCCAACCTGAAGTTTGGGAAGCAAATTACCAAAATGCTCCGAGATGTTGTAGATCATAAGAGCAAGGGAGTTTTTGACAAGGTGGCTGAGGAGGAACCAACGCCTCTAGTAACTGAACGACCTACTGAGCATACTGTTGGTTTGGAATCCACATTCGATAAGGCTTGCAGCATCCTTGAAGCTGAACAAGTGGGAATTGTTGGCCTGTATGGCATGGGAGGGGTTGGCAAGACAACCCTCCTGAACAAAATCAACAACAAGTTCTGTGAACCCCCAAATCGATTTGATGTAGTTATTTGGATTGTAGTATCTAAAGGGTTTTACATCGGAAAGGTCCAAGATGACATTGCTAAAAGGGTGGGAATAGCTGATGGAACATGGCAGGACAAAACTCCAGAGGAAAAAGCTCAAAACATCTTCAGGGTTTTAAAGGAAAAGAAATTTGTCATATTGTTAGATGATATATGGGAGCGAGTTGATCTATCTAAGGTCGGGATACCTCTCCCAACTCAAAAAAATGGTTCTCTTCTTCATGCATGTTTATTGGAAGAAATAAATGAATCTTGCATAAAGATGCATGATGTGATTCGTGACATGAGTTTGTGGATAGCATGTGAATGTGAAGAAGAAAAGTGGAGGTTTTTTGTGCAGGCAGGTTATCAATTAACTAAGTTACCAGAAGTTCAGAATTGGGGAAGTATACGCAGGATGTCATTGATGAAGAACAGGATTGAAAATCTAGTAGAAGCACCTAACTGTCGTGATCTCCAAACTCTGTTTCTTAACGGTAATCAGTTGAAGGTGATCAATAATGACTTCTTCCAATTTATGTGTGGCTTAAAAGTTCTAAACTTGTCAGGCAATAGTGGTCTAGAAGAATTGCCAGTGGGAATTTCGAAATTGGTGTCTCTGGAATGTCTCGATCTCTCATATACAAGCATAAGACAGCTACCAATTGAATTGAAGGCTTTAGAAAAGCTTAAATGCTTGAACTTGGAATTTTGTGGTTCTTCTCGCATAAGAATTCCAAGACAGTTGATATCTGCTTTTTTAAAGCTGCAAGTGTTGAGAATGTCTCACTGTTATTATTCTTTGGGCCAGGAAGTGGAAGATAATAGTGAATGTTTGGTGGAAGAATTGAAGTGCTTGAACCATTTGAATGTGTTGACTGTCAATATAACAAGTGCTTTGGGTCTCGATAGCCTTTTGCGTACTGAAAGGTTATGCAGCTGCACTTTAGCTATTCAGCTTGAATTGTTAAAGGACTCGAAGCGATTGAATATTTTATCTTTAGCGAATATGAAGAGTCTAGAATCTCTAGACCTTGGGAACTGTGAAAGTTTGGAAGAAGAGGAGATGGAGGGGGGAGGGGAAGGCAGAATGATAAAAACACAGAGCCACATTCAAACCTCTCTGATTGCAGGCAAACATTGCTTCCAAAGCCTTCGCAATGTATTTATAGCCACTTGTTCAAAATTGAAGGACATAACATGGCTAATTCTCGCTCCAAACCTGAGGCGGTTTAATGTGGCCTGCTGCAACAATATGGAAGAAATAATCAATGAGAGAAAACTGAGTCAAGTGGCTGAGCTAGTAGAAACTTTAAGCCTATTTGGAAAACTCAAGTATCTTACACTAGAGGATTGCCAGAGTTGAAGAGCATTTACTGGGATACACTTCCCTTCTCATGTTTGAAAGAAATTTTTGTTCGTGGATGCCCAAAGCTGAAAAGACTTCCACTCAACTCCAGCAGTGCAAAGGAAAACAAAATCAGCATTATAGGTGAGAAAGAATGGTGGAAAGAGCTTCAATGGGAGGGTGAATGTGCTCTAAACGATTTTCTTCCCTGCTTTAGTGCTTTAGGTCTCTTTACTGAAATTCCAGAGTAAACATATGACTTTTGCCATTTGTCTCTGTTATAATTGTTGTGTTTGAACCTGTTGCGTTGTGTTCTAAAATCGTGGATGATTTTCTGATTTGTATGATGTTCATTAAATTGACTAAGTTAATGGTGAATCTTTTGGTTATATGGATTTAAATATAGGCTGCATTTTAATGCTGAGTAAATAATTTTAGCTTCAACCTAAATATCTCAATTTGTTTGATTTTATTTATGGTCAGCTAACATGTTATGCTACCAACTTTTTCTTGATTTAAACACGTGCAGTAACTATTTATATTCTTCTCGTCTTTCTTTAATTATAAACTATTATCTATGTATAAAAGTGTGAATTTTAATATTGTTAAAAGTGATTGACTTAAATACTTTTATAAATCTTTAAATTAACAAATTTATTTTTAAATATATAATTTTTATTAATTTATTTAAATTTAATTTAAATCAACTAAAATTAAAAATAGATTTTTTGTGAAATTAAACTGCTTAAAATTTCGAAATTTTAATTCCAAAAGGATTAAAAATGATTCACTAAAATATTCTTAGTCAATTTTTTATAACTTTTAATTTAAATTAATTTTCTTTTTTATTATTAAATTTTTTATAATTACGCTAAAAAAGTATTAAAAGTGATTGATTAAAATATCCTTATTAAAATTTTTAATTCCCAAAATGTTAAAAATGATTGATTAAAGTACCATAATAAGTTTTTTTTTTTTATAAATTTTAATTTAAAAGAAGTTTCCTTTCATTATTAGACTCCTAAATCATTAAAGCATATTTGTTTTTATCCCTAATTTTTTTCCTTTCAGGTTTTTATTTTAATTGATTGCTAACTATATATGTATGTTAATAATTTTATTATTTGTATATTTCATGAGTTGATAATTTGATCATAAATAATATAATTAAATCTTTTTAGTCGCTTGAAATAATTCAAAAGAGAAATTAATTAAATCTTTTTTATTTCATTGTAATTTTTAAAATTATGTATTGTAATATTTTTATATTGTATAATAAAATTTTTAAATAAAAGAAATTTTATGTTTTTAATTGGTAGAATGTAGAATTACATTTAATTGATGGAAGCACCAATAGAAGATTTTCCAAAGAAAAAAAATGAGAAAAAAATTTGACTGATTATACATAGCTCTATCTTAGTCATATAAATAAAGTTAGTGCTATATGATGTTTTAATGAAAAATATATAATTTTAATGATTTAAAATTTTTTTAGGATCAATATAAAATTCTTTTTTTTGGAAAAACATTGTATAGCTTTCATTTTTCTTTTCATTATATAAGTTAAAGAATGTTCATGATTATATAAAAATTTTTAAGGTTACTATGTTAGGTAATATTTATTCAAAAGTATTGAAATTCATCAAATTAATTATCACTATTACATTTAATATAAAAATATTATTATACATTATAATTTAACTAAACTTAAATGTGATTTAAAAGCATTAATTAACAAAATTCTTTCGATAAATTTTTATTTAATTGTGTATTTAGTATTTCAATTATTTTAAATTTTGACTGCTCATAATTTCAATTTGGGTTTTAATTTTAGAATCAACTATCAATTAGGTTGAGTTAAGTTTTATTTGCATCTATTCATTGTATACTTAACTATTCACTTATCACTTGAACAAATTTGACTCAATAATTGGTGCAAACTTTTCCTTCTTTACAAAGTTGGATTTAAAATCATCTTAAATTCAAATAAAATAAAAAATGTTGGATTCTGATTGGATTGCTATTTCAATTCAAATTTTGGGTTCAATGATTTCATATTTTAAATAACCACCAAGGTTTTGATTGTTTAAAATCAATTGAATCAAGTGAAGTTTGTTTATTTTTATAATTATGTGTATTATATTATTTTTAATTATATTAAAATTCAAAAAGCATAAAAATTTTATGTATACTCAATATGAGTCTTGAATTATTTCAAGTTTGAGTTAATTAATTCATATTATTTTTAATTATACTTTTATGACACTGGTATTAAATTTCAAAATAGAATGAAAAGGAAAATTTAAGTGCAAAAGTTATGGAAATATTAATGATAATTCTAGAAGAAAATTCATATACCCAAATTGTGCAAAGATTAAATGACATATCTTCTTTTAAGGATTTTGAAATTCTTATGCCCAAGTCTTGCTAATCAAGTTGCTGTGATATAGATTGAAGGGAACAACTTAAACATTTCATTTGAAATAGATATTATAGTTCATACTTATTTAGGAAGATAACATATAGTTAAATATTATTTGGGTCGTTATGACCCCTTATAATCTTTATTCTTTTCAAATGAAAAAGTTGGTTGACATCAAAATATATAAAAAAATGCATTTTGAATGATAGTAATAAAAATAAAATAACAATTAGAAATATACTATCTTTTCATTTAATAAAAGAAATTTTTGAAAGAGAATGTGAAAGTAATTATTATAAACTTAATATTCTTTAAAATTATTGTCTATTTATTTTTTATAAATTTTATTTAGTAAAGTTTTTCTCATTGCTTTTGCATAATTAAACTTTACTTAAAATTATATACTTAAAGATAGAAACATAAGGTAAAGTTTATTATTTTCATTGTTGGCATAATACTTCAATTTTTTCAATCTTTTATAAGAAATTGTACTTCGCTAACAAGTATAAAAATATATAACAAATCATTCAATCAAATTATTAACAAAACTTATCTTAATATGTACTATTTTACAATGAATTAAAAGTTTAAAGAATATCTTAAAAATATTAACTTAATATATATTATACATTAATTTAACTTTGCTTTGATACTTACATTAGTATAAAAAGTTATGATTTTAACTTATTATTACATGCTAAACTACAAATAGCAAATTAAGAGCATTTACTTATTGTTTTTCAAGTCATTTACGTTTAAACATTTTCTTACTTCTTTCTCTATCTTATAAATTACATCATTTAGCATTCATTGCGGATGCTTTCTTTTTTAATATATGCAAATTAATGACAACATAATAGTATATGATTGCTAATTTAGTAATTAATAATGAAAGCTAAAAGTAATCAGTATAACTTTGTAGTAATTATTGATAACTTAATAATTAATCAATAATAACTTAATAGTAAATCATGCATAAATCAGTATATGAATAATAATTTAATAGTCAATGATTGATAACTTAGTAATAAATCAATAATAATATAATAGTAAATGCATAATAATTTAGTAATAAATTAATTGTAATATAATTGTAAATGAATAACAAGAGAGTAGTAAATCAAGAAAAATTTAATGAAAAATAAGTGACAACTTAATAGTTAATCATTGATAACTTAATAATAAACTAATAATAACTTAATAGTAAATTAGTAATAATTTAATAATAAATCAATTTTATTTTAATAGTAATTAATTAATAGTAGTGAATTATAAATAACTTTTTTTATATTGTGAATAATAGCTTAATATTAAATAATTGATAATTTAATAGTTATTCATTACATTAAAAGTAAATTAATATAATTTAATAGTAAATCATCAATAACTTAATTGTTAATCAATGATAAATTAATAGTAAATTTGGATAATGTAATATAAATTAATGACAACTTGGTAATGAATCATGGATAATTTAATAATAAATTAATAATAATTTTGTAGTATATAATCGAAAATTAAATTGTAAATCAATTATGACATAATAGTAAATATATAATAATATAATAATAAATCATTGATAATTTAGTAGTAAATCACCAATAACGTAGTAATAAATTATTAATAACTTAACTATAAATGAGTAACAATATAGCAGTAAATTAGTTAATCATTGATAATTTTATTCATAAAGATGCATGATGTGATTCGTGACATCAGTTTGTGGACAGCATGCAAGTGTGAAGAAGAAAAGTGGAGGTTTTATGTGGAGGCAGGTTATCAATTAACTAAGTTACCAGAAGTTCAGAAGTGGGGAAGTATACGCAGGATGTCATTGATGAAGAACATGATTGCAAATTTAGTAGATGCACCTAACTGTCCTGATCTCCAAACTCTGTTTCTTAACGATAATCAGTTGAAGGTGATCAACAATGACTTCCATTTTATGTGTAGCTTAAAAGTTCTAAACTTGTCATACAATAGAGATATAGAAGAATTGCCAGTGGGAATTTCGAAATTGGTGTCTCTGGAATGTCTCGATCTCTCGGATACATGGATAGGACAGCTACCAATTGAATTGAAGGCTTTTGAAAAGCTTAAATGCGTGAACTTGGAATTTTGTGGTTCTCCTGGCACAAGAATTCCAAGAAAGTTGATATCTGCATTTTCAAAGCTGCAAGTATTGAGAATGTCTGGCTGTGATTATTCTTCGGGCTGGGAAGTGGAAGATGATAGTGAATGCTTGGTGGAAGAATTGAAGTGCTTGAACCATTTGAATTTGTTGACTGTCACTATAACAAGTGCTTTGGGTCTCCATAGACTTTTGAGTACTGAAAGGTTATGCAGCTGCACTTTAAGTATTCAGCTTGGATTGTTGAAGCACTCGAAGCGATTATTTTATCTTTAGCGAATATGAAGAGTCTAGAATGTCTAGACCTTAGGAACTGTGAAAGTTTGGAAGAAGTGGAGATGGAGTGGGGAGGGGAAGGCAGAATGATAAAAGCACAGAGTCACATTGAATCCTCTGTGATTGCAAGCAAACATTGCTTCCAAAGCCTTCGCTATGTATTTATAACCCAGTGTTCACAATTGAAGGACATAACATGGCTAATTCACGCTCCAAACCTGAGGTCTCTTAGTGTGGGGTTCTGCAACAATATGGAAGAAATAATCAATGAGAGAAAACTAAGTCAAGTGGCTGAGCTAGTAGAAACTTTAAGCCTATTTGGAAAACTCGAGTCTCTTAATTTACAGCATTTGCCAGAGTTGAAGAGCATTTACTGGGATACACTTCCCTTCTCAGGTTTGAAAGGAATTTATGTTCATCGGTGCCCAAAGCTGAAAAGACTTCCACTCAACTCCAACAGTGCAAGGAAAACAAAATCAGCATTAGAGGTGAGAAAGAATGGTGGAAAGAGCTTCAATGGGAGGATGAATGTGCTCTAAACGGTTTTCTTCCCTCCTTTACGTCTTTTGACTGAAAGTGCAAAGTAAACATATTACTTTTACCTTTAGTCTCTGTTATAATTGTTGTGTTTGAACCTGTTGCGGTGTGTTCTAAAATCGTGGATGATTTTCTCATTTGTGTCGTGTTCATTAAATTGACTAAGTTAATGGTGAATCTTTTGCTTATATGGATTTACATATAGGCTGCTTGCTGCATTTTAATGCTGAGTAAATAATTTTAGCTTCAACCTAAATATCTCAATTTGTTTTATTTTATTATGCTACCAACTTTTTCTTGATTTAAACCTGTCTCGTCTTTCTTTAATTATAAATTATTATCTTTGTATAAAAATGTGAATTTTAAAAATATTAAAAGTGATTGACTTAAATATTTTTATAAAATTTTAAATTAAAAAATTTATCCTTAAATATATAATTTTTAGGAATTTATTTAATTTTAATTTAAATAAACTAAAATTAAAATTAAATTTTTTTGCAAAATTAAATCACTTAAAATTGTAAACTTTTAATTTGCAAGATTGTAAGTGATTCACTAAAATATTATTATTAAATTTTTTATAACTTTTAATTTAAATTAATTTTCATTTTTACTATTAAATTTTTAATAATTACACTAAAAAAGTATTAAAAGTGATTGATGAAAATATCTTCATTAAAATTTTTAATTCCTAAAATGTTAAAAATGATTGATTAAAGTACTATAATAAATTTTTTTATAAATTTTAATTTAAATGAAGTTTCTTTTTCATTATTAGACTCCTAAATCATTAAAGCATATTTGCTTTATCTCTATTTTTTTTCCTTTCAAGTTTTTATTTTAATTGATTTGCTAACCATATATGTATGTTAATAATTTTATTATTTGTATATTTTATGAGTTGATAATTTGATCATTAATAAACAATTAAATCTTTTTATTTGCTTGAAATAATTCAAAAGGGAAATTAATTATATCTTTTTTTATTTCATTGTAATTTTTAAAATTATGTATTGTAATATTTTTATACAATCAAAATTTATGCCTACTAAAATTTTTAAATAAAAGAAATTTTATGTTTTTAATTGGTAGAATGTAGAATTATAATTTATTGACGGAAACACCAATAGAAGATTATTCAGAGCAAAAAAATGAGACAAAAAATTGACTGGTTATACATAACTCTATCTTATTCATATAAATAAGGTTAGTGCTATATAATATTTCAATAAAAAAATTTTAATTTTAATGATTTCAAATTTTTTTAGGATCAACATAAAACTATTTTGTTGGGAGAAACATTGAACACCTTTCATTCTTTTTTCATTATATAAGTTAAAGAATGTTCATGGTTATATACAAATTTTTAATGTTACTATATTGGATAATATTTATTTAAAAGTATTGAAATTCATCAAATTAATTATCACTATTACATTTAATATAAAAATATTATTATAAATTATAATTTAACTAAACTTAAATATGATTTAAAAGCATTAATTAACAAAATTCTTTTGATAGATTTTTTATTTAATTGTGCATTTAGTATTTCAATTATTTTGAATTTTGACTACTCATAATTTCAAGTTGGGTTTTAATTTTAGAATCAACTATCAATTAGGTTGAGTCAAGTTTTATATGTGCCTATTCATTGTGTGCTTAATTATTCACTTATCACTTGAGCAAATTTGACTCAATAATTAGTGCAAGCTTTTTGTTCTTTAAAAAGCTGAATTTAAAATCATATTAAATTCAAATAAAATAAAAAAATATTAGATTCTGATTGGATTGCTATTTTAATTCAAATTTTGGGTTCAATGATTTCAGATTTTAAATAACCACAAAGGTTTTGATTTTTTTAAATCAATTGAATATACTAAAATTTGTTTATTTTTATAATTATGTGTATTATATTATTTTTAATTATATTAAAATTTATAAAGCATAAAAATTTTATGTATACTGAATTTTAGTTTTGAATTGTTTCAAGTTTAAGTTAATTAATTCATATTATTTTTAACTATACTTTTATGATACTGGTAATAAATTTCAAAATAGAATGAAAAAACAAAAAAAATTTAAATGCAAAAGTTATGAAAATATTAATGATAATTCTAGAAGAAAATTCATATGCCCAAATTATGAAAAGATTAAATGATATATCTTCTTTTGAGGATTTTGAAATTCTTATGCTCCAATCTTGCTAATCAAGTTGCTACAATATGCATTGAAAGAAACAACTTAAACATTTCATTTGAAATAAATATTATAGTTCAGACTTATTTAGGAAGATAATATACAATTAAACATTATTTGGGTCATTATGACCCCTTATAATCCTTATTCTTTTTAAATGAAAAAGTTGGTTGATATTAAAAAATAAAAAAAGTCATTTTGAATGATAGTAATAAAAACAAAATAACAATTATAAATATACTGTCTTTTCATTTAATAAAAGAAAATTTTGAAGAATAATGTGAAAGTAATTATCATAAACTTAATATTTTTTTAAATTATTGTCTATTTATTTTTTTATAAATTTTATTTCATAAATTTTTTCTAATTGCTTTTATATAATTCAAATTTTACCTATAATTATATACTTAAAGATAGAAACATAGGGTAAAGTTTATTATTTTCATTGTTGGCACAACACTTCAATTTTTTCAATCTTTCATAAGAAATTGTACTTTGCCAACAAGTGTAGACACCTTAATTGGTCTGATCCTAAGCCCATTGGGCTTGGTACAATAAGATCCATATTATTAGGAGCAATTATCCATTTTCATTTTTATTTCATATTTTGTTTTTGTTATTATTTTTGGTTTTTTCTTTTCTGATTATTTATTTGATTTATCTTTGGTTTTTCTGTTTAGGTGTTAAGATTATAGGATAATGATAAGATAATAGTTAAAAAAAGGGGGGGAAGATAAAATTTTGCCTTGTGAATGCATGCTAGTAGAATTTTAAAGGGATTAAATTTGTATTCGAAAAATCCAAAGTTTTTTATAATATCAAAATCTTGTCAAAGGTTGAGTTAATCAGGGATTCTTCTGAATTTTCCTATAAACTTGGCACAAATATTATAGAGTAGGGAGATCAAGAAAGATCACTGAGAAAAACATAAGTACATGGCACCACCGATTCCCACCAAGCCAATTTTGTGGCCATCTCCGCATTGCCATCCTTCCCATCATTGGCAATCCACACCAAAGCAACCTAGCCTTGAAATTCAATACTATCTCCATTACCAGTCGAGGCCTTATTCATTTTTTTTTCATTATATAAGTTAAAGAATGTTCAAAAATTTTTAAGTTACTATATTGGGTAATATTAATTCAAAAGTATTGAAATTTATCAAATTAATTATCACTATTACATTTAATATAAAAATATTATTGTAAATTATATTTTAACTAAACTTAAATGTGATTTAAAAGCTTTAATTAACAAAATTCTTTTGATAGATTTTTATTTAATTATGTATTTAGTATTTTAATTATTTTAAATTTTAACTATTCATAATTTCGAGTTGAGTTTTAATTTTAGAGTCAACAATCAATTAAGTTGAGTCAAGTTTTATCCATGTCTATTTATTGTATACTTAATTATTTACTTATCACTTGAGCAAATCTGACTCAATAATTGGTGTAAACTTTTCGTTCTTTAAAAAGTTAGATTTAAAATCATCTTAAATCCAAATGAAAAATAAGTATAATCAATTGCTTATAATTTTAATTTCACTTTAGAAATATTCTTAAAAATTAGTTAACTAATTCAAATACAAAGATAATAAAAATGAGACATTGAAGATGAAAGAAAAAAAACTTAAATAAGAAAATTTTGAATTGATGTGGAAGATGATTAAAAATATTGGATTCTAATTGGACTGCTATTTTAATTCAAATTTTGGGTCCAATGATTTCGGATTTTAAATAACCACTAAGGTTTTGATTTTTTAAAATCAATTGAATTGAGTGAAATTTGTTTATTTTTATAATTATGTGTATTATATTATTTTTAATTATATTAAAATTCAAAAAGCATAAAAATATTATGTATACTCAATTTGAGTTTTGAATTGTTTCAAGTTTGAGTTAGTTAATTTATATTATTTTTAACTATACTTTAATGACACTAGTAATAAATTTCAAAGTAGAATGAAAAAACAAAAAAAAAATTTAAAAGTTATGGAGATATTAATGATAATGCTAGAAGAAAATTCTTATACCCAAATCATGCAAAGATTAAATGATATATCTTCTTTTGAGGATTCTGAAATTCTTATGCTGAAGTCTTGCTGTTCAAGTTGCTGCAATATAGATTGAAGGAAACAACTTAAACATTTCCTTTGAAATAGATGTCATAGTTATACCCATTCAACAAGACAACATACATTTAAACATTATTTAGGTCATTATGACCCCTTATAATCTTTATTCTTTTCAAATGAAAAAGTTGGTTGACATCAACATATCAAAAAAGTAATTTTGAATGATAGTAATAAGAAGGAAATAACAATTAGAAATATACTATCTTTTCATTTAATAAAAGAAATTTTTTAAGGAAAATGTAAAAGTAATTATTGTAAACTTAATATTTTTTAAAATTATTGTCTATTTTTTTTATAAATTTTGTTTAGTAAATTTTTTCTCATTGCTTTTATATAATTAAATTTTTACGTAAAATTATATACTTAAAGATAGAAAGATAGGGTAAAGTTTATTACTTTCATTGTTGGCATAACACTTCAATTTTTTCAATCTTTCATAAGAAATTGTACTTCTCTAACAAGCATAAAAATGCATAACAAATCATTCAATCAAATTATTAATAAAACTTATCTTAATACGTATTATTTTACTATGAATTAAAAAATTTGAAGAATATCTTTAAAATATTAACTTAATAAATATATTATATGTTAATTTAATTTTGCTTTGATACTTACATTAGTATAAAAAGTTATGATTTTAACTTATTATTACATGCTAAACTACGAATAGCAAATTAAGAGCATTTATTTATTGTTTTTCAAGTCATCTATGTTTAAACGTTTTCTTACTTCTTTCTCTATCTTATAAATTACATCATTTAGCATTCATTGCAGTTACTTTCTTTTTGAATATATGCAAATTAATGACAACATAATAGTAGATGATTGCTAATTTTGTAATTAATCCATGAAAGTTAAAAGTAATCAATATAACTTAGTAGTAATAAATAATAACTTAATAGTTAATTAATAATAACTTAATAGTAAATCA